TCTGGGCACTATCGTACATAAGGTTCCATTCTTCCTCCATAGCCAGTCCTCAAGACATATTAAATGAGGCTATAGCCACAGCGTGGAGCCGCTCCACTCTACACGCAGAAGCTATTGAAAAAAGGGGAAAAGAATTGAGTCATATCATATACTGATCAGGAATTTAAACACCAGAACGCATACAATTCAAGCCCACTGTCATTTCTCATCCTGAAGAAAAATCCCATTGGGACCTTTGCTCATTATTCTTATCCCCTGCATAAAAGTTAGAACAGTAAGAAAAAGTTTCCCTTGCCAGCAGCAAGTTTTGCATCCTGCCAGTTCTCAGGTTGTTCACTCATCAAGCTCCACCTGAATACTGCATCTGTTTAAGAACTAGTATCTCTGGAAGACCTTACTAGCTAACGGGGAAGAGATTTAAAATTAGACACCATTAATTCCTCTCTTTTGCCCACGGTAAAAACAAAAACAAACAAAAAACCCAAATCATCAGCTACGGTAAAGTGATCTAAATCCAATAATCTCTTCACCTTGCCCTTCTGGGGCACACCGTTACCATTTCCTTCCCTCTCAGCCCTCACCAACATTCCTCACCACCACAAAAAAAAAGGGAAAAGATGAGGAAATAAAAACAAAAGTTTTATTCTACAGTTTTTGTTTGAAATGTTTCTAAAGGAGACGGCTCCATTCGCAAGCCACTAGTAAACAAACTAAAATTAAAATAATGAAAAAAAAATAAAAAAATCGACTCCAAACTCCATGCTTACATCAACCAGCTGGTTTTGTCTTCCCTTCTTTCACAATATCCTCATAAATAATTTTAGTCTTCTTCCTCATTTCTCACATAAAACAATGCTATATGCTACATCCTTCTTCTGTACTGAAGTGTTCCCTACCATCTCCCAACCTCCTTAACTTCTTATTTTTTTCCCCATGAAGAATAATAAATGTATCAAGATGTTTTACTGAAGAACAAAATCCTGAAAGCAAAATTAACCAGAACCCTCTTAGATTAGTTCTGATGGTACCAGAGCATTTACCAAGTAACTCTCCATCAGATATTCATATGGAAAGTCAAAAAAAAAAAAGAAGTATTGGAAAACCAGTAGATTTTAAGCTCTAGTTTACATATATAAGCTTCAAGTAAAATTGTCATGGTTGGAGCTACACAAATATCATATTGAAAATCTCAGATTTTAAACACAGAAATCAGAAAAACAGAATAAAGCCATTTTTACATAACATTCTTAATGCTAAACAACGAGTCAGAATGATTACTGAAAAGATTATCTAAGACAAAACACGCACATCATCAGATTGAAACCTCAATCATACAAACCCAATGAACTGAGAAACTGAAGCTGGCTATGACACCAAGTACCCAGATATAGATCTAAATCCCACAGGTCACATCTAACTCTGCTGTAGTTACGGAAGATGCACAGGGTATCTTTTGCTCCTTTACAGGCAGTGTCTGCCTGGAAATAGTCCCAGCACTTAACCCTTGCACATTTGCTAAACTGATTATATATACATATTAATAAAGAGTTCTGTATATAAGAAAAAAAAAAAAACCACAGTAGAAGAATGTGATTAATGTATAAGGTAGAACATACACCTCCAAAATTAATCTAAAATCAGGTACAGGATATCGCCAGTAATAAAGTGCCACAGTATCTGTCTTAAGCTTGCAGTTATGGTAATGTTTACAGGACACAAATTGCCAAATAAATATAGACTCTTTACTATTCGTGCTATCTATAAGAAAATCTTCAATTGTTCAAATACACCATTCAAGCTTTTAAAAATTCAACATAAATTCCAAATGCTGCTCCAATTCTGATAACCCCTCTTCTAGCTAAGCTAGTTGGCTGGTAGTGATTTGTCAGATAAGTTACACAATACTGTTTCAGCTTCCTGATTAGATAAGCAGATAAAGTTGTTGTTTGGTTGTTTTTTTTTTTTTTTTGTGGCACATACATTTATGCATCAAATTTTGCATTTTCTGTGAACGCTTGCAACTTCGTAATCCTCTCTCCGCAGATCTACACGGCAGTAGAAGTCAACCGTGGACAAACCGCATTCGCTGAAGGAAAACCCAAAAGTATTAGCATGCAAAAAGCAATTCCATCTACAAAACTGAACAACAAATGTTCAGGAAATTTCTCTCCCGGTGTTGCTTCTACATCCACTGCAGAATAAATAAAAGCAACGAGTGATCTTTCTGCATCAGTATTTCTTTCCTAAAGATGGCCATGGTGCACACAGCCTCAGTGCACCTCTTGTGTCATAGAAAAGAATAGCACAGCCGGACTGTGACCCCACTGCCCAGGGATGAGCCAGAAGTACACATCATCAGGTGGAAATGCAGCAGCCAACTTCCACACTGTCACTGGGTTCCCAGCAAGGCCGCAGAAGGAGGAAGAGCAGCCCACCACCCTAACCACAGTAGTATACAACCAGAGAGGAGGCAGCAATGCGGGGATGAAGCTGGTTGGAAGTATTTGACATCAGGTTCTACCATAACAACACGTGTCACCTTGCCGTGGTCTGGAGATGATCACTGTCGTCCCCTTCCCATGTCATCCTGCCTACAGTTTCAGTAATTTATAAAGGAAAGGCCACGTAAATGAAAGTTGACAAAACTCAGATAAACGTTAAAAGAAGCAAGCATGACGAGATGAGATTTTACACTGCCTTTATTGGACAGGACTGGTATTATTAATTCTTAACGTCCCGTCCATCTGTTACCTTACACACAAAGTCTGATTTTTGCACAACACCACTCACAATCTCCTGACACCATAAACGGCATAGACTGCCTACTCAAACATGTAAGAATGCAAAGCAGAAATGAGTTGAGTTTGATACTAAGACCTACCATGACCACAGCCCGTGTCTACTAACAAACCCAACAAAAAAAGTCAACATCGCACAGAACATTGTGTGCAAGACCCCAGGAAGTGCACGAATGATTCCACAAGTATGCCAGCAATGCTTTCTGTGAAACAATCTAACTCTTCACATTTTTCCACACCTTTATTGCTAAGGACAGCAGGGCTCAAGCAGGATCTACACTGGGTGTTCAGACACATGGGTGGGTGTGGTGGAAGCACCTGTGTTAACAGACTGCTCAGGTGAACATGGGAGAAATATTTCAACACATACTCATTTATTGGAACTTTGTGAAAGTTCTGAGTGATCCAAAGCAAGTTGCTACAAGGAAACAAAAGAATTCCTACAGCTTTTTATTTTCTAAATGCAACAGTATTTTGTCAGCTTTTTTGTTTGTTTTAAACAGTTCTGAAATGCAAGCTCTATAAAAGCAGCAAGTAGTTCACACCTGTCACCATCAGTGATGACACTGCATGTTTGGAAATAATTTTTCTGGAGAGCAAGTTCAACTAGATCTCCCTTAATGGAGTCTGTGAACTCCCCAAAAACCAATAAAGGACTACAGCTCACCCCATACACCGAACCGTTCTAGGAAATGATTTGCATGTGGGTATGACTAAGGAGCAGTGATGCTCTTCGATCTTTACATCTCAAATAACATCACAACAAGAATTTGTGCTCTAGGATTTCTAGGCACAAAATATTTAATCTCACCAAACCAAGCTCCCTATGGAGGTCAAGCTCTTCTACCAAAACTTGTGTTCAATTGCTTCTGAATAAGTGCATGCACAACATTACCGATAGCCGTACAGACTGGGCCTCAAACCTTGCACCTACTGATGAACTACATTAAAATCCCAGTTCTGTCTCTAGCTTGTTTTGGAGATGGCAAAATAGAGGAGTTCCAGCACGTAAAACAATCAAGACAGGAACACAATCAAGCCTGGCATCTCTATCAAGGTCTGTCAAAGTGGGGGTTCTATATTGTTCATAATTTATTTTTATTTAATCCGTATTCTACGCAATTTTATCACACAAATTGACTTCACTAATTAATTCATTCTTTTTCAGGAGTTGTTTATAGAAAATAAAATTCATTTAAGCTGCTGAAGTGCTCAAACTTAAATAATGTAAAGGCAACGATACAGTAACAAGAACCTTTGCACCATTTCAGAGTATCTATTCTGGCATTAGATATGACGGTGGGATTTCTCTCAGCATCAGGAAGTCACACAGAAGTTACTCTATGCCTGACCACTTGTTAGGAACCAATTTCACAAGAAGTATTTATTGTGATGGAAAGACAGCAAGCATGTAGCACTTCCTTAATGAAACAAAGTGAACAGAACACTACACAAGAGCACGTCCCAAACCATCCCACCAGTTGCACTAGATGTTCCTCCAGCACAATTTCAACTATACACATCACCAACAAGATGTGTCAGAGTGATTTGCCTGTGCTGCCCAGCAGCTGACAGGACTAAGCCAAGCATGGCCTATGGGCAGGCATCATCAGCCTGGAATTTGCCCGTCCATACTTATGGTACCAGCAAACCCTCTGACCCAAGTGACCTATTGTATTGGGTTTTGCACAATACGCATGACTTGGCCTACTGTACGGCAACGTCAGACGTTGGGTATTCAGTTGACTGTAAGTCACATCCAGCAGCAAGAATGAAAGAATAAAACGGAACTTGGCCTAAAGAGAATACAATGATCCTGAGGGACTGCTTCAACAAGCCGAATGCTTTAAGAATATAAGCGTATATAAAAATACAACATAGAGGTTATCTGCCCTGACGCACAGCTCGATCTGCTCATCTTCTCATAGAAGAGTGCGAAGCATTACACTGAGAAGGGACAGAGTCCCCAACAAAAATCCAATATGGCCCCAACAGGGCCATCCATTGCCTTAGGATGACCCCATCCCCTCCGCTGCCTTAGGATCACCCTGTCCCCTTACACACCTGCCACTTGCGCACAGCTGTGCTCCCGCACCACACCAACACCGCCACAGCCACCTGCCCGATTTCGGGCACAGCGGGGCCGCCCGCCGCGGCCAACCACCACCGACAGGTAGGGAGATGCGCCGGCCCCGCGCTCACCTTCTTTATTGAGCCTCATCACCTCCCTGCTTTTCGCACCCTCCTTTCCAGTCTCTTCCAGATCTGCACCTGCAGAGGAGGAGAGGCACAGTCAGGAGCCGAGGCCCGAGGTGTGCACGCATTGTTCGGAAGAGAGGTGAGGAGGTGCGCTGCTCCGGCACCGCCACAGCGCCCGCGGGGCCCCCCCTTCTCTCCCCTTCCTTCCCCTCCCCGCGACCGCTCCGCTCGGCGCCGCGCATCCTCCCCCTCGCCCCCTTCCCCCACCGCGGCTCCGGCCCAGCGGCGTAGCCCGCGCGGCGGGGCCCGGCCCGCGCCACCCGCACGCATGGCACCGGGGCCCGGCGCGTCAGCTGAGCGCCCGGGGGGGCGGCACCTCCCGCGGCGCGGCGCGGCCCGACCCGGGGGGCGCGGGGTGGAGGGCAGCCGTGCCCCAGCCGTGCGTGCGCTGCGGGAAGGGGAACGGCGCGCCGAGCCGCGGGCCGGTCCCTGCCCTTACTGTGCGGGGGGGCGGCGCCGTGCGCGTGCGGGGGGGCGGCCTCCCGCACCCAGGCGGCCCAGGGCTGGCCCAGGAACGCCTCGGGACTGGGCACGGGCCGCTCCAGGGCCGCCATGGCGCCGCGCCTGCTCCTGCCTCCTTGTTGCTTTTCCCGTTTCCTTCGGCGGCGGCGGCGGCGAGCGAGCGAGCGAGACACGGGATTCGAGAACGCCGCACGTCATCCTCGGGACGTTCCGCCGCCCACACGGGGGTAGTGTCAGCCCCTGCTCCCTATCAGATCGGGCTCCCCGCCGCCCAACGCGCATGCCCGCGCCCCCCGCGCCTGCGCGCCGCGCCCCGCGACGCCGCCGGCCCCCGGCCCGCCA